GGGGGCAATGGGGGGCAGTGGGTCAATGGGGGGCAGTGGGGAAAATGGGGGCAGTGGGGGACAATGGGGAACAATGGGGACCCATCGTATGTCATTGCGTGTCACCTCGTGTCACCATGGCGTGCCATCCCATGTCCATCCCATGTCCCCATGTCCCAATGTCCATCCTGTGTCCATCCCATGTTCTCATGTCCATCCCGTGTCCATCCTATGTCCCCATGTCCATCCCATGTACATCCGATGTCCACATGTCCATCCCGTGTCCATCCCCTGTCCATCCCATGTCCCCACGTCCATCCCATGTCCCTGTGTCCATCCCGTGTCATCCCATGTCCATCCCATGTCCCCATGTCCATCCCATGTCCCCATGTCCATCCCGTGTCCATCCTGTGTCCCCATGTCCATCCCATGTCCACATGTCCATCTCATGTCTATCCCGTGTCCACATGTCCATCCCGTGTCCATCCTGTGTCCATCCCGTGTCCCCATGTCCCCATGTCCATCCCGTGTCCCCATGTCCATCCCATGTCCCCATGTCCATCCCGTGTCCATCCCGTGTCCCCATGTCCATCCCATGTCCACATGTCCATCTCATGTCTATCCCGTGTCCATCCCGTGTCCATCCCGTGTCCCCATGTCCCCATGTCTATCCCATGTCCCCATGTCCATCCCATGTCCCCATGTCCATCCCGTGTCCCGCAGGCTGTGGCAGACGAGTGGTTGGAGGACTACAAACGCGACCGCACCGCTGCCTTCCTGCAGCTGCTCAACTTCATCGTCCGCTCCTGCGGCTGCCGAGGTCCCCGAATGTCCCCGTGTGTCCCCATGTGTCCCCCTGTGTCCTCACGTGTCCCCACGTGTCACCACGTGTCCCCATCTGTCACCCCAGGGACGGTGACGGCGGCGATGCTGCGGGAGTTGGACAACGTGGGCATCATCCAGCGGCTGACAGAGAGCTTCCAGGAGGTGGGGACATCATGGGGACATGATGGGACATCATGGGACATCGTGGGGATGTGGGGACATCGTGGGACATCATGGGGGCATCATGGGGACGGGAGGAGGAGGAGAGGTTGGAGGAGCTGCCGTGGGGTCGGGCTGTGGGAGCTGTGGGGACATGGGGACAGGACCACCGTGTCACCTCCTGTCACTGTCATCCCCTGTCCCCGTGGTCACAGTGACACCAGATGTGACAAGGATGGTACCATCACGTCACCCTGTGCTTGTCCCCACGGCCACAGTGACAAGAGGTGACACAAGGATGGTTCCATCATGTCACCACACCCTTGTCACCCCCTGTCCTTGTCCCCATGGCCACAGTGACTCCAGGTGACACAAATGGTTGAATCCATCATGTCACCACACCCCTGTCACCCATCCCTGTCACCCCCCGTCCTTGTCCCCATGGTCACGGTGACTCCAGGTGACACAAGAATGGTACCATCTTGTCACCCATTCTTGTCACTTGCTGTCCTTATCCCATGGCCGCAGTGTCCCCAGCTGTCACAAGGATGGTACCCCTGTGTCACCCTGTCCCTGTCACTCATCCCTGTCACCCTCTGTCCTTATCCCCATGGCCACAGTGACAAGGGGTGACACAAGGATGGCTCTATCATGTCACCGCACCCCTGTCACTCAT